CAATAATGCAATATGTGTTGCGTTGTTGCAAAAGATATTTCATAGAGACTATAGAAGAAACAACTGCTAAGCTTGCCTCAACATGCTAAAAGAAACGTCACCTATGTCATATTTCAGTAAAATTGTATGGGCTTGAAGTGAATATTTTGACTACGAAATGCCTAATATGACTTGAGGAATTGAGATTCAAGAAAAGGAAGAAGAGAGAGAAGAGGAGATGTAAAGTTGACTTCAAGTGAGGTAGTCAAGGAGCGATTAGGGAAGAAGTGCACAACTAAGAGAAGGACACGTGTGAAGTTTTTGGTCAAACTTCATTTTTAACGGCCAACATTTTTCAAATTTAACAATGGGGTGATGTTGCACTATTTTTGAAAGTCTCGGGTGATATTACTCCAAAAAATAGTTTAGAATATCAAGTGCCTTTATTGAAAAATTTTTAGGATATTTTTGCCTTCAACCCTACTCTTTATTCCTAAACTTTCCCGTTAATCAGTAAGCATATGAATTATCATCTTTCCCCCTAAAATTAGTCACACATTCAGCAAAACACTTGTGGAATTGAAAAATTACATTTTTCTTCATTTTCAAATCATTAATTTCATGAATTTCAAATCTAAATAAAATTTAGACTTAATTTTCTCTCATTCATATATTTTCCTTTACTTTCTCACATTCTCTCTCTTGTTTGTCATCTTCAACCTCATGGCCAAGCCTAGATCTCCAATGATTCTCACACAAAACTCACCAAAATCACACATCATTCTCTTCCTCTCATTAATTTTGTCCAGTCCCTACCATTTTCTTAAGATTCCAAAGATTCAGTTCTCCATTTGCATGGATCAAGGATTCGGCCAATTTAAGAAGATCAAGGAAGCCGTGAAGATGAAAATGAGAGGCTAGGCATCTCTAAGGAATTCTAGAGAGAGAAAGATGAAGGATGAATCACGAGCATCACTTGGCTAAGCTTTTCTAATTCCTAGCTCTTCTCTTTTGACTTGATGATTTAATTCTTTAGTTTAGGGTTTAATCATCATGGCTTGTAATTCTAGTTTGAAGTGAGTGCTTGTGTAAGGAGAAAAAGCTTGTGACATTAATTTCTTTCTTGTTTGTCTCGATATTGATTTTAGCCACTATAAGAATTATGCATGTAATTGTGTTTTCCATTTAGTGAATGGCTTGCATTGATTTTACATAGTATTGTGAGATTGTTACTTGTCTCTTAAGAAGCTTTACACAGTCTTGTGATTTCTCATTTTTGCATGCTTGGCTGAGACATTCAAGAGGAATTTAATTTACACTCTTGACCAACACTTGAAACCAACTAGGAAAATCACCTAAGAACTTTAAGGTAAGATTTAGGGAATTAAACTAGCTAGATTAATTGGCTTGAGATAGTTTTCTTGGGTCATAGTCAATTTGGTGAAGGGGAATAAAATAGCACCAATGCCTTAACCATCAAGAAGATAAGGATTTTTTTCATTAACCAATCTCTAGGGTTTCAACTCTTTAAAAAAGGGAAATTTTCAATCCACTCGTTTTAGTCTAGAATTTTGTTACTTGTTTAATAGTTTGTTAGAAATCAACCTCAACACTTGGTTTAATTTGTTCACTAATTAACTTCATAATTGGAGTGAGACAATCCTAGGAAAATGATCTGGGCTGACCCTTACCACATTTAAGGTTGAATTTAGAAACTATTTAGAAGGGTGTATGATACCCTTGATCATAATGAGAAGTCATATGACTTTGCAATTGACTTGAAAGACCTCAAGGAGTTCCTAACTTTAAAAGAGTTAAACATATCATGGACTAAATTAAAAATCTTGTAATTTTTTTGTCCATTTCTATTCATTCTATTTTCTTAACACCAATTTTTTGACCCCATTTGAATGATAGGTTCCTCCATAATCTTTGTAGTAAAATTGATAATAGAGTGTTGAAGATATATTATATGATAAATGGGCAGCATAAGTATATAAATGGAATGACTTGTATATTCTCAAAAATGAGTAGTTTGAACCTTACTTTTTCCATCCTCAAATTAGATCACATATGTCTTTGTTCAATTTTATCATTTATTTTATTTTCAATGTCAAATGAAGCCATGGAAAATAGAGTGCGGACATTATTCAAATAAGATGAGGCGATTAGTTTTATTAAGTTGTTGAATTTTCAGTTTAATTATTTGGTGCAAATTATATTGTATTGATTGATTTATTTCTTTGGATTTTGATAGTTAAGAAGAGATTGATGGTATCTAGATGTTTTAGTTCAACAACTTCTCCAGAAATTGTGGTCAAAGTTAGCAGTGAAAAATACTTTTGATAGTTTTAGGTTATTTGGACAAATAGATATAATGATAGCTAGATTAGTATAAAAATTTTCGTTGAATTGTTCACTTTTATAGTTAATCGTAGTTAGTTTATTTTGCAAATAAATATTGTTGTACATTTTTAGCTTACTATATAGCTACTGATTCTACTAGCCGGCTATTATGTTATGAATTTTGACAAAGAACATGGACTTTTAAATTGAATTTTCTAAAAATCAAAATAAGGAGTCCTCTTCACATCAATTTTAAATTAACATAAAATATTAACTCATGACTATCTTTTTTTCCACATCTCTCTATTACACGACGTTTTAAGTCCTTTACAATTAGAGTGAAAAGTCCTAATTCGTACAAATAACATTAGTCCACCAAAATTTTACGGGCTAAAAGGTTGGCTCATTGGATTGGGCTAATTTTCCTAACTCCAGTGAAAATTGGATCTGGTTAAGTATGTATTAAGGGTATATAGAATTCAAATTAAGTCTGGCTAGGTAGTCCTCGTGAAGTTGGTGGTCCCAAGAATGTGACATGCTACTAACCCAGTAACCCTCCAAATTACATTATAGATATATGCTTCCTTCCAACCCTTCCTATTTTGCCCAAAGAAATGACTAGGAATTTTGGGAATATAACCTTGCACGCATGATTTAATAGGAAGGAGCTTACATACACCATGAGGAAAAGGAATTGTACATGATTTTGTTTGCTTACTTTACACAAGAGGCCGAACCTAGTGCCTGGTGGCAGTGGCACCCTAATAAAGGCATTTAATGGTATGGGCCCATGCCATTAAACAAAAGTGTGATTAAAGGCAATCTGTTTATATAGATAAGAACCGGTATTTATCTTAAATTTAGCTTGTTCAAATTAAAATTAGATTACCATCACGGACTAAAATTAACAGAAGTGGTAAGAATTCTCATCATTTAAATATATAATTAATGATTCAAATCACAACTCTTGTATATACATCAACTTAGTTGAAAGAAGTTTACCATTTACCCTCAATACCTAGAAGAAGATAGAGCCGGTTTGGCAACTTGTTTTGAAAATAATTTTCCGTTCTCCAAAATAAAAGAACAAAAAAATTTATTTGGTAATGTATTTTTAAAAAATATTTTTTTCAAAAAATAAAATATTATTTTGGAGAATAGAAAAATAAAAACATGTTTTAAATATTTTAAAATTATTGTTCTAGAAAATAAAAAAATTTAAAAAAAATTATTTTTATTATTTTTTTTGTTCTCTGAACATATTTTACAAAATATTAATTCTTAAAATAATAAAATAAAAATAATTTCAAACAAGAAATCTCTGTTGTTAGCAAAATTTACTTCTTGTATTTATAAAAAAGATTAGATCAATTTTATTCTATTTTATTTTATTATAATCATAAATATTTTGATGAATATTTTAACTTGAAAACTAAAAATAAAGAAAAATAAATCCCAACCCTCCAAATTACTTGAACAGTTAAAATATTCTCTTTTGAAATTAACACGGGATTGCATGCTTATCCTTAAGAATAAGAGGCTGAGCAATATATTATTTCTTAGTGGTAGGGTAGCATGCCCTTATCAACTCCCATATATGGTGTTGGAGGTAAGACTTTCAGTGAAGATTGGAAAACTAATTAAAAAAGGACGGATTCGGTATTGTTGAGCTTTTAATGAATTGATTACTTAAACGCTTACGGAACTTTTTTTTTTTCCCCCTTTCTTTCTTTTTTAAGTGAACGTTTCGAAGCTTTAAAACTACCTCAAACATATTCAACCGCGTTATGCCCATAATGAGGCGTTAAGCCGCCTGCTCAGAAAATGACCTAAAATGAGGCTGAGAAAGGGAAAGTTGATCATCATGTTGATCCAACGGCAGGGAATAAACCTTTGTAAATAAAGAAAATCCCATTAATTGAGAATTGAAGTTAGAGATATGACCCAATAAGTATCTATTAATATATAGCATATATTTTATAGAAAAACTAACCCCTTATTAAGGGGGTTAAAAGGCCAATAGCTTTATAATGAATACTATAGCCAGTAAGAAAGGGGAAAAAGAAAATGACAATGAAAAAATCTCTTTTAAAATGAGTAAATAACAATTAAGTACCGTTAAATATGATAATTAGTATTTAATCATGGAATTTTGTCATAGTTTGATTTTTGATAAAATTAATAGGTCTCGTTTGGTTACTTAAAAAAATAGATTAAAAAAATAAGATAATTAAAAGAGATGATGAACCCAAATTTATAAAGAAAAATAATAATTTAGTTATAAGATTAGAAATTATGATTCAAAAAATTTTTTAAATAGTGTAATGATTTTCATATTTATAGTATATATTAATAAATTTTATCATGCTTATTATAAAAAAATAATTTTATTTATTTTTATATTAATTTATTTAATTTATTTCATTCTATTTTATTTAGTAATCAAATAGAACCTTATTTGTTGTGGGTAACTATTATAAAAAAAATAATCATTTTAGTTGTATTATTGATTAAAATATAATAAAAATAACCAATAAGTAAGCAATTAGTGTTTGTATATTTGGAAGGTATTTTTTCAATTCCTTTTTTGGGGAAAATGGAGTAAAAAAAAATTGATTTGAAACAGAAGGAAATTAGACGCAGCCCGCAACAAAAACCCCTCCCCAGAGGCCTGTTTCTCTCTTTCCCTTTGTATCGTCTTCCATCTTACGGAGAAAGATGAGCTGACTCTCTCTTCTTAAACGGCGTAACGGACATCCAAAAGCGCCGTCACGGACTACCAAAATCCTTAGACCACATGCTTTTCATACATAAACCTCTAAGTCTATGTTAATGGCTTTGGAGCAGCAATTATCACTGGGTCCGAATCCCAACCTCGTTGACGGCCAAACAGACAGAACGAGTAACGGCGTCGATGTCCGGCCGCCGTCCGTCGACGGCGGAGAGGATGGCGTTAAAGCGCCGAGGCTGCCTCGTTGGACGAGACAAGAGATTCTGGTGCTCATACACGGGAAGAGGGACGCGGAGAACCAAATTCGAGGGAGTCGCAGTGCGGGATTGCCTTTTGGGACGGGTCAACTGGAGCCGAAATGGGCTTCGGTCTCATCGTACTGCAAAAAGCATGGAGTGAACAGAGGACCGGTTCAGTGCCGGAAAAGGTGGAGCAATTTGGCTGGAGACTATAAGAAGATCAAGGAATGGGAATCTCAGATAAGGGACGATTCAGAATCGTTTTGGGTGATGAGAAACGATTTAAGGAGAGAGAGGAAATTGCCGGGATATTTCGATAAAGAGGTCTATGACATTCTCGATTCGGGATCGCAGGCGCCGGCGTTAGCTTTAGCTCTGGCACCGGCTCCTGCGACAGGAACTGCTCCGGTGGAAAAGGGGAAAGACAGCAAGGGAGTGGCGGCGGAGGAAGCCCAGGCTGATACGGAGCCACACTTGTACGATAGTCGGAGCGCCGCCGGAGAGGATGGCTTATTCTCGGATTTCGAACAGGAAGAGGCAGGAGTGAGTCCAAAAAAGGAAGCACCGAGGAAGGATGTCTCACCTCATTCGACGCCTGTTCCTGCACCTATTCCCATCTCAGGTTTGTTTATACAGTATCGACACTCTGCAATATGCATAAGTGTTACAATTATTGGATATTTTGAAATAAATTTTGATTTGCTTGGTATCGGCCAAGGAGTAAGGAGGAACAAATCTCTGACTATGTTGGCTTTTTGGAAGAACTTTAAGATGCATCCCACTATGCCCTTGTCTAATCTCTAAATTTCTCAACTACTGCATTTTTTCCCCTGTTTTCTTCTCAATTTACAGAGAAGCAATATCAACCACTTCTGCGTGGCTGTCAAGTTGAAGGAAATGCTCAAGGTAATGTTACGCACTTCCACTGCCTTGAAAATTCTCTTTACTCCCTTTCTGTGATTGATTGAGATTTTAGTTATAACAAATTCTCCTTAGGCAAGAAAAAATTGTTTATAACGGATGTGTGTAGTGGCTGTGCTTTACACGAGTCAAATGACATAATTCGCTGGGCCAATGTACTCAATCGAACTTTATATGTGATCCAATGAGGATTTAGTGATATGTTCTTTATATGTCTCTGATTCAGGCTTAAATTTGAGTTCATCAGACCTATCTGATTTTGTATTGAAACTAATGGCAATACGGTATTGACTTTTATGTGCGTGCGAAATGAACTTTGAGTTTATAAAGTTAGAATATATAAATTAAATAATTCCATAGTTTATATTGCTGCTGCTGATTTTCCCTGCTACAAATCAGCTCTCTGCTCATTTATATGTTAATTTGTTTTTTTAATTACATTTGATTTTCAATAATGCCCGAATTGAATCATTTTTTCAAGTTCTGCATTATTCATTCTTCTGGTAATGATACCTCATTGCACATTGTGCGTGTGGAATTGGGACTGGTCTGGATATTTCTATCCAATTTGCCACTGCTTGCTAAAACTTATCTTGTAGTTGCGTGAAAATTGAAGTATAACATGCGTCCCTGGAATCTGTTAAAGATTAAAGTCTTCTCTGAAATTTATTCATCATCATATCTCAGTAACTTGATCATCTGTGGCAAATTGTTATTGATATGAAGTATTTATATAAACTAAACTAATCCTCTTTCTTGAGGCTTGGCTAAAAATCTCTTGTTTTAAGAATTATAGTTGACTCTAATATATTTTCTATTATTGAACCTTACTGTCTAGAGAATAAAGTTTCTTTCAAAATGCTACCATTGAATAAAGTTACATCTTCATATTAAATTTTAGTATCAACATCGGTATATCCAAAGGTAGCTTTCTTTACTGTCATTTTGGAATGATTCTATATATATATATATATATAGATTTAGATATCACAATTTCAAGGGAGCTGAGTGGAACTTTTGAACAAGAGATAGAGATCATATATTATTAGAGATCTGATAACAAGTTTTTCAGATTACAGTTTCTTAGATACAGACATTGTGCATGCCATTAAGCTTTTTGGTTTTAGGTATGTGGCTGGAGCTTTCCCCATAATAGGGCATTGGACGGAAGGAACTGTTTTAGTGACATTATTGACGTCCATTTAATATATAGGTGTGAGCAATGACAAACAACAGCGAGGCTCAAATCCAGAATTGGGTTCTACATCTCAAGGAGGACGGAAGAGGAAGCGGTTGCCAACGATGGACGAGGAGGAAGAAATTCTGCAAAATCAATTGATCGATGTATTGGAAAGAAACGGGAAGATGCTAAGTGCCCAGCTCGAAGCTCAGAACGTAAATTTCCAGTTGGATAGGGAGCAGAGGAAAGACCATGCTAGTCACTTAGTAGCTGTTCTTGATAAGCTTGCAGATGCTCTAGGCAGAATAGCTGATAAATTATAGTGCAGCAGCAAAGAGAGCCAACATGAGTGAGTTCAGTTCAGAATATAGTGTACATAACAGTTGGGTCTTATATAGTCTATAGATATTTTAGACAGTAGTGATCCCTGCCATTCACCTATTCAACAAAGATGATTGTCACATCTGTTTCTCGGTTTGATTTCCTTTCCGGATTTGCCGCTTCTGTGGTTGTTACTGCCGCTTCCATTTGCAAGTTGCGGCCTTTATCTAATTTTCTTCTTCCTGTTTAATGTACATTCAGATTATATATGATTTTCATTTACTGGTTGGAAGTTTATGTCTCAATCAATCTTTCCCCTCATTCTCAACAAGTGTGGCTGTACACATGTTTTAAATCTGAGATGTGTTTTTCTGTTCAATAAGTTTCTCCTTCAGTTATTTTCTGTTGAACCCGTTTTTTAGAACGAATTATAATCAGTTTCCAAATAAAAGAATTAATAATTTTCTCAATCCTATTTATAAATCAAACTTCTTTATTTACAAATGTCAAATTTCTATATTTACCAGTAGTTAAAACTTAGTGAGAATATCGGATAGGTTTTAAAGGGATTAATTAATTTAAATAAAGTTTTAAATGCCAAAGTCCGAGAATTTGCAAGTTTGACTTTTAATTTTGCAACTTTCATGCGATAAATTTGTTACTTGTTTTTTAAAATGTTAACATGGTTGAAAAATTAATAAATTTGTTTTCTTTCATTAAAATTTAAAACACAAGTTATAAATTCATCATAATAAAATGATAAAATTAAGAACTAAATTTGTAAACTTAAAAATTTAGCACTTGAGATTTAATTTCAATTACTTAGTTCTCTTGAAACTTATGTCATTCTCTCTATAACTTAAAGGCAATTAATTCTTTAGGAGAATTTCAATTAAGGAGTACGGAAGAGAGTTAATTTCATGTGGGTCCAAAACCATTCTAAAATTTTAGTTCGGTTCAAAGAAGAAAAGTAAAAAAAGTTTTGACGATGAAAAGGCAAAATATCCTTTATCTATTATGCAAAATTATTAATTATTAATTTTCTTACTTTAATTGTTAATTTATGAATATAAATTGCAAATTACATGAGTTAACATTTTAATAATTATATAAGACTTGACATAAATTTTTTAATCATGAATAGCAACATCAATTGTTAAATTGCTAACTTTACTTATTAATTTATCAATATTAATTGTAAATTACTAACATATCTTGTAATTTACTAACATTAATTATAAATTAGTTAAGTCTTGTAATTTACAATTAATGTTAGTAAATTAATAAGTAAAGTTAACAAATTAAACAATTAATGTTACTAATTTTTTGATAAATGGATGTAATTTATAAATAATATTAGTAAATTAACAAATACAGCAAAAAAATTAATAACTAATGATTTTGCATAATATGTGAAGGATATTTTAGTTTTTTTACTGTCAAAATTCTTTTAATTTTTTTTCCTCTGAACTAACTAAAATCTCAAAATACTTTTGAACCCATCTAAAATTAAATATCTTCCCTTGTCCTTAACTAAAATTCTTATGAATTCTTCTTTGGTATTTGAGTGTAATTCTTATTTTTTCTTTGGGTCCTAGAGTTTTATGCTCTTTCGTTTCAAAATTGGTTTTTTGTTTCTATTTCATGCTGTAATATAATATTAATATAATTATCATGTTATTTATTTAATATGATATATTTTAAAATTAACATTATCTGCATCATTTTCATAATTTTTTTGCTCGTTGTTTGGTATAAAATAATGGGCCGAATTCAACACTATTGGGTTGGGCTTGCATAGGTGAAGGGAAATGGACCTGAATTTTGACATTAAGAGAAGCAGCTCCCCAGCGTTGATGAAATAGCGCCTTCCGCAGGAGCTGAGACTCAGCTAGGTCATGATCCTTCTCTGAGTGCATGGCTCCCACCTTCACAGAGTGGTGCGAATAGTTACTCTTACTCCCACTGCTTAGTGGGCGAAATTCAAATTAAAGTAGAGAACGATTGCTCTCATTAGCTAATTACTAAAAGGAGGCAAATGTATAGAGAAGCATTATCACTTGATCAACCAAATGTTAGATAAGCTAATACTCAAGAGGGAGGTAAATGAGGTGTTGTTAAATTTTTCAAAAGCTTTTTTCCCAATGAAATAGCAAATAGGTTTTTCAGTAAAGCACTTATATGAAAAAGTTGAATGCAAATGAAATGAAGAGATAAAGCTTGACACAAAGGATTTATACTGATTTAGCCCAACCATTTAACCTATGTTTAATTCTCAATATCACAGTTGAGAGTTTTTACTAAATTTATAAATTTAAATTGGGTGTTTGCAAAGTACAAAAACCAAGACTTACTAGTATTGAACTTACTCAATCACTTACAAAACCCTTGTAAGAATAAAAACCAATAAAAGAAACTTTTTTCCTTAAGATTTCTCAATTTAAAATTAAGCTTGAGAAATATTAAAACTCTCAAAAGAGTATATATATAATACAAGTAAAAGCTTATAAACCAAAATAAAGAGCTTTTCCAAAAACAATGAATGCAGCAGATGAAAAGCAATTAATGTAGCGCTTAATTCGTAACCCATACTCACTTAAATGAGGTTCTATTTATAGTGTGAGATTATTATAACCATTAGACATCTCAAGTTAACTATTTAGAGTCATTGCATTGCGTGCTAGAAGTAATTGTGAAAAAGTACTTTATTTTTAAAGTTCATTTCAAGCATATTCAAAACTCTAATTTTTATGTGAATGAGTTCATTTTTGCTTGAATGAGATTTGCATAAAGGCCTTGTATAAAGCTCACGCTAATTCTTGTGTGTATACCTTCTAGTCCTCGCACGTTTAAGTTACAGAAGCACAAGCTTTTTTAAAACTCTAGATCACATGTGGACTCTAACTAGATCATGCGTAAATGAGATGGTAGTGGTAAATGACCTCTTTGAACACTTAGTTTACATGTAGGCAATATCTAATTCTTGCCAAAATGGGTAAGACAAGATTTTGAACAGAAGACGTAGAATATTTCAAGATTGGTTCAAGTGCTCAAAGCTTTGAAAAAGAAAAACTTTTAGTTTTACAAATGGCCAGACTGATCTTCATGTGAATAAAATCGATACTCACAAAAATGGGATGACTTAGACTTAAGTTACAACGAGTACACTTATTCTCATGAGCAAGACTTCTAGTTCTTGCAAAAATTAGAAGTCCAAAATCATAGTCTACACTATCACTCTACTTCTCGCATGTTTCACTTTTGAAACTCTTTTGATGTAGTTGGACAGAACCAACTTATATTCTGTAGCTCTAAAACTCATGTGCATCATTCTAATGTTTGAGCTTAGTAAAATTGGGACTATAGTTCATGTAAGCATATGTTATCTGATTCTTGCAAAAATGAGTTTAACACACAAAATCAATCTTAGGTATCTCACTTAGATCACATGTGACTAACTAGATCTCATGAAAAATGGGTTTGAAACACTAAAATGCTTTTTGAGATTTTTTCTAAGTTAAAATCAAAGTCCTTGAGCCTATGTCTTTTCTTGCAAATATGCTTTTGCCATTAAATGCAAATGCAAGTTCCGTAGTAAGGTTTTTAACATATGAACTAAGAGAAATAAAGATCAAACCTATTGAATCTATTTCTTCTTCTGTTCTTGTTTCTTTGCTCTTCTTGGATGGTTTTGTCATTCAAATGATTACATGATCTGCACATGCAACAAAACATTTTCTTTTGCACCGGCTTGGTATTTAAAATTAGTAAAAAGGCTACTGCATATCTTGAATTAGATGGATGGTCCACTAGCCACTAGATCAAGCCAATCCTTAAGGCAAACAATTCATTCTAAATGACAATCATTCACAAGGTTAATGCATATGCTTCTCTACTTACAATATCATTAACTATATGATACTGAAATAGATCCTTCAACTCATACTTGCCTATATTTAGGCATTGTAATGTTTCGCCAATCCTTGTGCTTCTTGTTGGACCACAACTTCAACCATGTAATGACATGAAGGGCACAATCATTTCGGCATAAATGTTGAAAATGCAATGAGCTGAAGATGAAAAAAATCAGCTAATGAAAATTGCACATTTAAAGTAATCCAATGACAAAACTCACATGGGATCTTGTCTGTGAACCTTTACACTTAAGACCTCACGATTGGGGTCTTTCTCAAATAGCCCCCACAATTGTGACTTAACCTTTCTCAATATTTCAATGAAGTTGTCTCTCTACAGAATGAAGCTTATCAGGCTCACTCTAGTCAATTTATCAACCAAGAAAGTACTACTTTATTAACACATAAATTCTATCATACACAAGCTTCATACAACTTACAAATAACCAACCTGACATATATGTTGTTAAATTACCATCAACAACTAGTAAATTCTATAACACTTGTCAATAGACAGCCTTAACTTTCTCATTCTTTGAAAATCAGGTTAGAATTTCAAAACATAAAAGACGCATGTAATAGTCGAAAATGAACAAACCCAACGAAGAGGAAAAATCCCTACACTAAATGGTTTTCCATCCATTAGGGAAAAATAACAATGCTGAACACACTTATACTTTATCAGAATCCTTTATCCATTAACAACAATGATTTTGTGCTTGCATCCTGGCATTTTTGTGCAACTAGTGGTAGGTGGTCCCACAGAGCTTTCAGAGAAGAGCAGCGCTGCCATTCAAGCTATTATCACGAAGGTCAAAGAGGCGCAGGTATCTTAACCAAGACAAAGAATCAACAAGGGCTCGGAGATAACGAGAAGAAAGCTAGATATCAACGACGAATAAGGGAGAGCCGTTTTGATACTCGAGTATGGAGGTGACCCCCTTTCTTTCTTGCCTTTATGTAGGTCGTGGATGGCAAAATCAATAAAGAGAGACTTCGAGCAAGTCATGGGAAATACGAGAAAATGGCTTCTCTCCATTATCACACGCAATCGACTGCTTTTTTTTAATGTTTAAACTAAGGGTATTTGGATTATTTAATCATTAAAATTAATTATTTAATCGTAGACTAAAGTGATGTTTCAGATTTCATTGAGCATCATTTGTGATAATGTCACATCCCTAGTCCTACATTGAAATTCTCCCTAAATACAATTCATGATAAATATACCTGCTTGTCAGCAATAAAACAATTGGGTACAATCGAAAAGTAGCAAGGTTAAATAATTTGGAGGGCCATCATTTTTAAAATTAATTTATGTGTAGTGTCATGGAATAGGAAAAAGAAAGAACAATTGATACTACCAATTTAAAATGTGATCCACATGAATC